GACAATAATTGTTCTTTCAGATGCTAAGCTTAGTTCTCCTGATATCTTCTTGTCAGGAGGCTTGGAACTTAATATTAGATTTAAAGGTAAGAAATTTTTTTTTTTAATTTTTATCTTGAAGTTTCGAAGTATTTAAAACTGTTTACTATAATGACTTTTTGATCTAGAAAGAAAGTAGAGGTATATATATCTTAGTCATTTTATGTTTCCTAGGATATCGCATGTCGTCTCATTAATCTTTTCATTAATTAATTTTTCCTGCGGTGATTTTTTTTATTTACCGAAATCAAGGTTATTAAATGTCTAGAATATACCTTTTATGCTATATATTATGATAAAATATGTGTATTGTGAGAAAGAAATACCGTTTTACAGGGATTTGATTTTGTTTGGAGAAGTATAGTTTAGTAACTGATTTTAAATTTTACATTTGTTTTGAACATATTTTATTGACAATCAAAAGGATAAGAAAAGTGAAAAAAAAGTTCTATTAACTTACTAGTTCTTCTCTTTAATTTTACATTTCGTGTTGGTCATGAATTCGAGGGTCTCTCAATACCTCGAAAACAACGAAAAATAACCCCCACGAAAATTAGTGATTTCACAGTTCCCTAGTGCAGTAATTGAATTCTACAATTTTCTATTTTTTAGGGAGCAAAGAAGTTTCTCGAGTGGTAGTGCATATTAAAGGAGATAATACGTATAAGGTTTATAACTTGGAAGAAGAACAAGGTATGTTGTAATTAATTTTCATATTCGTAATTATTTAGAAGTAAAATGTCCAGATATCCTTACATGCAGGACCAAGAATGCCAGAAAACATTTAAAAGATAAGATTTCCTTCTTTACAAATTATCAAAACATGTCTTTGAAAATTACTATTGAACTAAGAATTTAAGGAGAATTTGCATTTTTTGAGAAGATTTGTATGAAATGCCTGATTATCTTCCCTCTTTTGCTTTCTTTTACTTGGTTTACAGTATGATCAGCCAATCAAGATGAGTTTTAGGCTCGGCACTTCGTGTTATTTTATTAGGCTGTTTAAAATTAAAACTACGTTTAACGTCACCCGCGCGCGTAGGTTTATGAGAAAAAACAAACAATTCGGAATTCCGTATGTCTGTTCCGGTTTGGTTCTACAATTAGCGACTGAATTCTGCTTCCCGTAGTGACAGAAAATGTGCTTTGATCAAGGCAGTTGGTTTCTTATTAAAGAAAACTAGTGAATTAAAGATTTTGGGACTATAAATGTAAGTAAAAAATAGATGATTTTATGATTGAAGTTAATGACAAAGTCTAGTTTGTTGATTTTTTTTTGTCAGTCTTCAAATCACATGTTCAAACTGACAGTGACAGACTCTCAGTTCGTGATTTTATTGGCCGAACTTTTCATTGTATTTTGGAGAGAATCGAAAAACTTTTTTACTGAGTGGAAAGTGTGTCAAAAACCAAGATTTATATACAGTGAAAAGCATCATTCAAATCTTATTTAATATGTTTCATATTAGAAATATTTCTGTAAAAATCGAAAGGAACAGTAATGAGTAAAGTAATTGATTTCTTCATAATTCATGTACCTACAAATAGCTACAATTTTTTGAAAAGATAATACTTGTCATAACCATTTGAGCAGGGAGAAGCTTACTGAAGATAGGGCCTTTCAAGTGAAGGAGAGTAAGGAAAGAAATTGGGGTATTCCAAGACGTGAAGAATCCTGTCTTTAGTGTGGAATTCAAGGTATTAAAGATAATCTAACAGCTATCAGTATGGTCCAGATATAAGTATTCACAATTTCAAAACTTAATGCTAGTACATCGAGTACTAAGAAAAAATACGACATAATTCAATTTGAGATATTTCAACCTACATGAACAGTTTTAAATATTGTCATCATTAATTTTAATTGTAGATATTGATCAACTATTCCCACAAGAAGAAGCATTTGCCTCCAAGGTACCATGGACGTGTGGCAATATAAATCCAAAGGACAACTGAGGCCTACTTAAAAGCCACTTTCCTGCACATTCAGTCTTAGACTACATTGTTTGCTAACAATAGGACTCAAACTGATTCACATACTAAGGAAAAACTCTGCTAGGGAAATTAATCTTAAGTGTCATATCAATTAAATGCTCTTATTACTTACTTGTTATGTTTTTAATGTAATGAATAGGTTAATTTTAATAAATTCACAATTGTTTAAAAATTTTGTTTGTTTATTTTTTTCCTCCCTCCCTCGTAGGTTTTGAACTTTAGATGTGACGTTAAACGTAGAATTAACTTTGAACAGCCTTAAGCAAATTTCTTGGTACATGGATCATCTATAAAAATTTAAATTTTCAATTGAAATTTGTGTATGACAAACAAATTTTATTGAGAATTTAAATATTTGTGGAAGACACAAGTAAAACCTAATGAAACCTTTTGTTCAAAGATGCGACCAAGTGGAGTTACAAAGACAGACATTCACAAATCAAACTCGGTGAGACGATTCATTACCAAATCGTGGTATGCAAGAGGGGATATCCTATGGAATCAATGTCGGATACAGGTACATATTGATTTTCCTTGTAAATAATTTGAAACTTTGGAACTATTTAGACTTTCTTTTAAAGCAAATATACTTTAATATATAAAAAGTTATTTGCTTGGCTTGTTTAGATCTAAGTTGACAAATTTACAAGTAATACTCTATAGAATATGTTAGTTATCGCTAGCTTACTTATGAAACGATGATTGACTAAAAAGCGTAGTTAATCACAATCATAAACAATGTTTCACAGTCATGATCATTGTGTAGAATTCTCATAATTAATTAATGAACATTTTTAACATTCATTATTTTCCCATTGCAGTTATATTGTCCTCTAAAACTTCAATGGCTCCATCATTCAGTATCAGAAGTGTCACAGTTTTCCGAGATGATTTTAACCATTTTGACAAAAGCCATTATAGAATAGAGGTGGATGCCACCGGAGGCGGAGCAAGTATTTCATAAATATTTAGAACAGATTTTAATTGTCACATAATAGTTATAGGTGGTGTATCTACTTTGAGAGCATTAAGATAATTAGATTCCTTTTTTTATATATATTCAGAGTGGAAAAATAATATTTGTATTATAGATATTTGAATTTAAACAGGTAGTTTTATAACATACATGTACTTTTGTTACTTAGTTAAAATCTTAGGCTTAGGTATTTTGCTTATGATATATAAGTTTATTCTTTTCAGAATGGTGAATTCCAAATATACACACCAGAACACCAAAATTTGTACACTGCTAATGGTTATTTATATATTAAACCTTGCCCATATTTTTTAAGTGGATTGGGCTATACACATGGCTTCAATATTTCATAGGTAAATTTCTTTTGGCAAAACCTTTTAATGGGTACCACCAATTTTGACCTCTTGATCTCTTGACCTTGGAGTTTGACCCAATTTTACACAAAAATACCTTGAACTTGGCGTAAGTTTTGAACAGGTGGTGCTAGGACTTTCATGCTCTTACATGTGTAATCATTGTGAACTTTCAACAGGTATAATGATTTTTGACCTAGACCTTAGAGTTGAATCCAATTTAACTTTAACCTTGGCAATAACTTTTGAACAGGTGAGGAAGTTCTAGGGATTTCTCCCTTTTTTCACATTTGTATTCCTTGTGACAAGACTTTCCCTTTGATACCAACAATTTAGACCCTTTGACCTTGACCTTGGAGTTTGACTTACATTTGAGAAACTTCAACCTTTGCCAAAAGCTGCCATAACAGTTGCTGTCACAACAAACAAACAAATTACTAAAAAAAAAAACACAGAATACATGTACATATTTTATATTCAACAGATATACATCTGGTCATATCTCTAGTTCTCCCTTGAATGAGACATGGTGATATAAATTTTAAAAAATAATTATAAGAGTTGAAAAGGTTGTGCATATTGAAATATACTAAGCTCTGCGGATGAATTAGATATACCAGTTTAGCTTTATTTTGCTACCCAAAGCACCTTGATTAACTATTTATAAGCATACTGTTTTCTGAAATGTACTGATTTCTGTTGTCCATCTGTTTATCTGCAAACTTTTCACATTAACTTCTTAAGAACCACTGGGCTAATTTCAACCAATTTACATTTAAATATGCAGGGTACTTTTTAAGCGCCCGGATCATAGATCCCGGGCGTATATTGTTTTTGTCCTGTCTGTTTGTCTGTTTGTCTGTTTATCTGTTTGTCTGTTTGTCAACTTTAACCTTGGCCATAACTTTTGAACAATAAGGGATAGAGACTTAATATTTGGTAAGCATACTCCACTAATAAAGTCCTTTCAAATGACTTCAAGGTCAATGACCTTGTGACCTTGACTAAGACTTATATGCTAAAAATAGCTTTTTCCACTGTTTGTCATAACTTTTGAACCATAGGAGATAGGGACTTCATATTTGGTATGCATACTCCACTAATAGAGTCCTTTCAAATGACATCAAGGTCAATGATCTTGTGACTTTGACTGTGACCTATATGCTAAAAATAGCTTTTTACACTTTTTGCCATAACTTTTGAACCATCAGAGATAAGGACTTCATATTTGGTATGCATACTCCACCGATTAAGTCCTTTCAAATGACACCATGGTCAATGACTTTGTGACCTTGACTGTGGCCTATATTCTAAAAATAGCTTTTTCCACTGTTTGTCATAACTTTTGAACCATAGGAGATAGGGACTTCATATTTGATATGCATACTCCACCGATAAAGTCCTTTCAAACGACGGCAAGGTCAATGATCTTGTGACCTTGACTGTGACGGATATGCTAAAAATAGCTCTTTACACTTTTTGCCACAACTTTTGAACCATAGGAGATAGGGACTTCATATTTAGTACACATACTCCACTGATTAAGTTCTTTCGAATGACACCATGGTCAATGACCTTGTGACCTTGACTGTGATCAATATGTTAAAAGAAGATTTTTTTAACTTTGTTGCCGCCGGGCGCGTAGTGTTTCACAAACACATCTTGTTCCAACATAAATCTTCTTCTCAAGAACAGCAAAGACATTTATTGTCCCCATTTTTGCTAAAGGTAGGGTACATTAAATCTCATTTGTTTGTCAATCTGCCCATCTGTCACAATAAATTTAACCTTGTCATCATGGTCGTATATTTTGAATGAGAAGAGATAGGACTTTTATATTAAACATGTGTATTAGTATTAAATGGGACAATACCATTCTACATACACTATGATTTTCATTACCCATGATCTTGAAGTTTGACCTAATTTCGTTAAAAAAATAATTGCTTTGAATTTATCATTTTGAAAGATAAATGAAAGGGCATTCATATTACCTGTGATAAGACCTTCCAAAATGTATCATGACTTTTTGACTCTGTGACCTTGACCTTGAAGTTTAACTTAGTTTTCATTAATGTTGTATTTCCTTTTCATTGAGAAGAGATTTGACTTTCACATTTCAAGTGAACATTACCCATAACAAGAGGCTCCCAACATGCTATGATTTTTTACCCCTTGACCTTGATGTTTTAACAAAATTTCAAAAGAGTGAACTCTCCCAAAAGATGATAAGACCACTGTTTAAAACAAAAAAGGAGTTTAGGGAAGACTGGGCTTTTTCCATAAAAAACGTCATTTTTCAACCCTCATTTGACCCCCCGGGCAAAATCAAAATTCCGAAACCTAACTGCACATCTACATGACCCCACCAACCATCTCCCAAAGATGATTAGGATGCTGAATAAAATGTAAGAGGAGTTCAGGGAACATGGTGCTTTTTCCATAAAAAAACATCATTTTTCGACCCTTATTTGACTCCCCAGGGCAAAACAAAACTCCGAAACCTACCTGCACATCTACATGACCCCACCAACCATCTCCTTAAAATATGATTAGGCTGCTGAATAAAATGTAAGAGGAGTTCAGGGAAGATGGAGATTTTTGCATAAAAAACGTCATTTTTGACCCCCATTTGATCCCCCAGGGCAAAATCAAAATTCCAAAACCTTACTGCACATCTACATGACCCCACCAACAATCTCCCAAAAGCTGGTTAGGCTACTGAGTAAAATGTAGAAGGAGTTCAGGGAAGACGGGGCTTTTTGGACAAAAAACGTCATTTTTCGACCCCCATTTGACCCCCCGGGGCAAAATCGAAATTCCAAAACCTTACTGCACATCTACATGACCCCACCAACCATCTCCCAAAAGATGATTAGGCTACTGAGTAAAATGTAAGAGGAGTGCAGGGAAGACTTTTTGCTTAAAAAACGTCATTTTTCGATAACCCATTTGACCCCCTGGGGCAAAATCAAAATTCCGAAAGCCTACTGCACATCTACATGACCCCACCAACCATCTCCCAAAAGCTGGTTAGGCTACTGAGTAAAATGTAGAAGGAGTTCAGGGAAGACGGGGCTTTTTGGACAAAAAACTTCATTTTTCGACCCCCATTTGACCCCCCGGGGCAAAATCGAAAATCCAAAACCTTACTGCACATCTACATGACCCCACCAACCATCTCCCAAAAGCTGGTTAGGCTACTGAGTAAAATGTAAGAGGAGTTCAGGGAAGACGGAGCTTTTTGCTTAAAAAACGTCATTTTTCGACCCCCATTTGACCCCCTGGGGCAAAATCAAAATTCCGAAAGCTTACTGCACATCTACATGACCCCACCAACCATCTCCCAAAAGCTGGTTAGGCTACTGAGTAAAATGTAGAAGGAGTTCAGGGAAGACGGGGCTTTTTGGACAAAAAACTTCATTTTTCGACCCCCATTTGACCCCCCGGGGCAAAATCGAAAATCCAAAACCTTACTGCACATCTACATGACCCCACAAACCATCTCCCAAAAGATGATTAAGCTACTGTGTAAAATGTAGGAGGAGTTCAGGGAAGAAAAGTGTGACAGACGGACGGACGGACGGACGGACATGAGTAACAACAATATACCCGAACTTTCTTTAGAAAGTGCGGGTATAATAATGCAGAGTGAATATCATTTAAAAAATTTGTAATTTTGGGAAATTCACACTGTGTTGTTCCAATCTTGCTATGTAAGTTTTAATGATAGCCTATCTTGATATTCAGATTGATTGATTGATTGATTGTATATTGTTTAACGTCCCTCTAAAGTATTTTTCCCTCATATGGATACGCCACCACTTGCTGGTGGAGAGCTGCAAATTTTGCCCTATACTCGGCACTCAGGGCCATTGAGCAGGAAGGGGTCTTTTTCGTGCCAGCACCTACTGCGACACGGCACCTCGGTTTATACTGTCTCATCCGAATGACCGGTCTCCACGTCCCACAGTGGGATTCGAACCCGCGACGTAAGGATAATTAACTCCTTACTTAACGCTCTAACCACTGCGCCCGTGGGCGACCTTAATATTCAGAAGGGAAATTACTAATACTATCTATTGTATCTAATGATAGTAGTGATAATCACTGGAAGTGAGTACAAAGCGTATTCAGATGCTAAGAGAAGCTGTCCAAATTTCAACATTAAACCGGATATGACACTAGTATATATTGGTTCAACATCAAACCTACTGCCTAGTATAAGATTATTTGTTAATTATTGACGTGTCAGAAATTTTGATTTACATAGGTATAACGTCCATGTGGTTCTTTACGAAAAGGTGGAGAGAACATGTAAAGCTATCGACAGAGTATGTATAATTATATGGACTGTAATGTATAAATAAAGGCTTTTGACTTTTGGCAACAATTTGTCTTTATGTAAAAAGTTCAAAGTTCCTATTTATTTAATAAGGGAATGCTAAAGCTATGTCTAACGGAGTTAACCACGGTATAACTCAGATAACCTCCGCACTACACTGGGGAACGGATCGCGCACATAAGCGCAGCAATCATAACGAGAGGTACACCCTTTTATCATTTGTATACATTTTAATGATAAATGCTTTTATTTGAGTGACACTAATCATTATTCTTGAAATAGACAATCTAATGGTGGTGACTGGCATAGTTGGCACACATATTCCTTAGAATGGACAGCTCAGCACATTATGTACGTGGAAATATAATTTATTCTTTTTTTAAAATTATTTTAACTGTCATACATTTCTTATAAGAATTTGAATTGTGCATTTTCTGGATATATATGAATTTATGTGATTAAATTAGTACTCATTTTATTTTCCTTGATTTTTGAATGATGAAAAAAGTTGTCCGGTGGATAATCACGAAATATTACGAGTCAACACGCCCTCTAACGGCTTCTGGGAAGCTGGAAATTTTTCAGGCACCAACATATGGGGAGATAATAAAAATGCACCATTTGACCAACCTGTTAGTATTAACATTTCACATTTTATTGGAAAAAATTTGGGTACCATTTACATATTTTTAAAGTTGTAGAAAATGGTAAATGTTCTGACACAGTTTTGTTCTTAATTTAGTATCGTTTAGCTTTCAATATACATCCTCTTGGGCTTTTGTTTTTGATCTAGTTCCGGGTCTTGTTGAACGTTGCGGTCGCTGGCCTGGGTTTTTTTTCTGACCGCTACCAATATGATACTCCAAAGCCCTGGCGCAATGACTCTCCTCATCCAAAGAGAGATTTCTGGGAGAAAAGGAATGTGTGGTTACCTACATGGCAAGGCGACTATGTTGCGATGTTAATTGATTACATCGAAATGATTCAGTATTAAAAGATTTCTATTAACTATGATATGTATAAGCATTATTATTTGGATAAGCTTTTTTCGATGTCATTTTTTTAAATGAAAAATAACCCATAAGGGATGCAAACATTTGCGTCCTTTAATTACAGACTAATTTCCTTCCTCATCTACATGTACACTGTATAAAGATATCAATGACCTTAGTATCTGCATTATATTATTGGCGCTTGTGTATAAATATGAAAAAAATCAGCAGCATTGCATTTCTGTAAACGAGGATCCCGCAGTGATTGCCAGTTTAAACTCAACGATAATATTCTACAATACAATTCGGATTACAAATACCTTGGAGTTATATTCCGTGAAAAGCTTAGTTTCCAAAATAATGCCGATACTTTGTCAAAAGCAGGTGGACGTGCTTTTGGAGGGATGGTTTCCAAAATTCGTTCATATAAAGATATAGGGATATCAATTTTCGAAAAACTTTTTCTGAGTTGTGTAGCACCAGTTTTGGACTATTGTAGTGAAATATGGGGTCTTCGAAACTATCACTGAATTGAGATGGTACAGAATCGCGCACTTCGTTATTACTTGAGGGTACACAGATTTACACCGATATCAGCATTACATGGAGAATTCGGTTGGAAGCTGCATTTCCCTAGACACTGCATTAACGCTGTACGATACTGGAATCGTTTACTGACAATGAAGGACAACCGCATAACAAAACACGTTTTCTTGTGGGAACTAAATCAATGTACAGTAATAAATATAGCTGGACTTCGCAAATTAAATTTCTATTTGAATCGGTGATTTCTAAACATGTTTATCATAGGTTATGTTTGATATCGTTGAATTTGAACGAAGATTACTTTTAAATTATGAGAGTGAATGGCTAGTAAAGATAAAACAACTACCTAAATTACGTATGTATAAAGATTTCAAAACACATTTTAATACTGAAAACTACCAAGAAATGAATATTCCAAAATTTCAAATATCTATTCTTGCTCAATTTAGAATTGGAATTTTACCAATTAGAGTTGAAACTGGAAGATATAATGAAGAATCATTAGAAGACAGATTATGTAATGTTTGTTCTAAAGATGAAGTAGAAGACGAGTACCACTTTCTATTAAATTGTACAGAATATTCCAATTTCATATCAGATTTATTAACTAGTATTAAGGTAGGATTCTTCTCACATTTCTTGTATTTAAAAATTAATCAAATTTTTACAGAATCAAGAGGACAATATCACTAAGTGATGGTAACATAGCCAGCATAGTTCTAGTATGTGTGAAAAATCTTATTTTTTTGATATATTTTGAAACTTTAGTCCCTTAATATTAATTTAACTTACATTTGAAAATTTCGTCTAGTCTTTGATTGCGTAAAAATTATAACTAAATTCAATGTTCTATAATAATTTTGAGAGGCAGGAAAGAAGATATTTTCATACGCCACCATTCCGCCAAAAATATAGTCCCTGCTAGTTTTCAAACGCAGTTTACCATTTCTATTTTAAGTTGTATAATTGTGATGAGGAAAGAAAAATATGGTCTTTTAAATCTCTTACATCTAAATATATAAGACATATCAATAAATATACTTTGAATATCCCATCTAGTCAGAAACCAGAGAAGAATCCTTCCTTAAATGTAACCCAACTTTTTCTATGTCAGATCAAGAGAGTGTAAATTTTCCTAGGCAGACCTCAAAATATTTATACCTTTCTTACATGCTCAGACAATCTCTGTTGTACAAAAAACGCCATGCGTAATATTTGTGTATATATTTTTCAAACATTTTGTTAAAGTAGACATATAGGTCCGATGGGCCGGGTGTTTTGGATATTAATTGTATTAAATGTTTTACATTGTACTGTATAACGTATAACACATGTCACTATAATAAACAATTTACTTACTTACTTACTAACTTATAGTTAATTTAAATAAAATGGGCATTTATAACACAGTATTTAGCTGTCAATAAAATTGAAATGAGCCATTGTAAACGTCCCTTATTTCTGTGGTAATATTCAACCATCACCAACATATAGTGTTTAAATTTCCCAAATCTTTTGGTGAAAGGGATTCACGTTTGTTCACATGAAGGGCTCCGCCCTTATTAAGAAAAAGTTAAAATTTGGTGGGATTTTTTAAAATTCTATTTGTCAAGAACTACTGTGCCAAACAAATTAAAACTAATAGGAAATCTTCTTTACATAGTTTAGTTTCAAGTTTGCTCAATCATGACCCCAGAGGACTGGGCCACAATGGGGGATCAAAGTTTTACATAGAAATATGTATGGAAAATTTTTAAGGTCAAGATGTAGTAAATAACTTCAGACTAATTTTTTGGTGCTAGATCCACTATGACGTCATAATCAATTTCAACTTTCTTTTTCCCGTACTCTACGGCTTTAGCAGAATTATGTAAAAAATAGAGTATTTTTATGAAATTCAATTTGAAATCATATGAAAAGTAAACCGGATACCTATATTAAATTTGATTTTGATTTAAAGAAGAGGCCAAGAACATACTAATAACTGTTTTCTGAGAGACTGTAGGCAATCTGGATACATTTCCTTTGTCGAATATGAAGCTCCCATATTCATGACTAGTTTTCTTAATTTTTCATTGAAATGACAGTTTAATGCCCTGTTCACACGGAGAATTTAATTCGTAGTAAATTAATGCGAAGTAAACTAATGTGAATCAAAATAATGCGAATTAAATTGCGTTCACACGACAGAAAATGTAAAGTAAATTAATGCGAATTTTAAAATTCCACTTGTACGGCCAGGCGTCAGTGTCACGACACCCTAAGCTTAATCAATGATAACAAGACTATTTTCTATTTACAATTTTATATAAAAACAAATATGTACAAATATACAAAATGAAATTAATGAATTTCAAAATGTCTATGAGCGTTCATCTTGGACCACGTTCCCAAAGCCGTCCACGTCTAATCCTTGTTACGGTCCCACTGTATACAAAGTGCTAATCGAAAATCTACTTGATTTGGATCACTAGCTATATTTGTTTGGATCATTCGAAGTTTCTGTCTGCACATTAAGACAAAAAATGTGCTTTTATATACGTTTTCTTACTAATAATAAAACTACTTCAAACAATATGAGACTTCTTCTTGGTATATTTAAAGATTATGATATTTTTGTTTCATCTACCCCTCCATAAACATCTGTAGCACGCGTTTTTCACACATCTAATGGTCATTTTTCGACTAATCATCCACTGGAATGGACTGTTGACATTATTTCAATAAAACATTTATTGTAATGTTTAATATGAACCTTTATCAAACGTAATTTATCAAATTCGACCACAAGGTCTTCTTTATAACTTGACAATTACAGCAAATATGCACCTACCCAACTTTTCCAGAGCTATTTTTGGTTTGCGTAGAAAATATCCAGAAAGCTTGTCATGACAGCTATACTTTTTTCGAGTATACATATAGCATTTAGGCCGATTGCAATTAGTAAAATAATTTATTGACGTTACTTTGTGTTAACAACAGTGCTGTACAATATTTTCTTCCCCAGACTCCTCTTACATTTCAACAATGGCCCAGTCCGTAGGAGGTCCATGTGTCATATGCTCACCTTAAGCGTTTTATGCTCAATCGGTGAGTGTGATACATATGTATTTATATAAATTATAGAAAAAGTAGTGTGGCCTCTTGGTAAGTTACTTAGGTACGAAGGAGAGTACAAACACACAGGCACCTGACGTTACTTATTTTTCTTTTAATAAAATAAATTATACCCCTATCTAATAACATTTTGAACCTTTCTTGACAGTATTTTTTTAAAATTTCTAATGGAAGCAACTGTAATGACGTTTTTATTTCGTTAATTTATATGTTTAGTTCCATTTTTTCATTCCGGAATAAAGGATAGCTCAAGCATAAATTTCTTCGGGAAACGGGAGGGGGTTACATTGCTGTCCTTAACACTAAATATCCCAACACAAAAATCCTATTTTATGGTTGGGGATGGGGTTGACTTAATTGGTGGACAAGCTACATTCTTCCATATATATTCTCAGTTTTCCTATCAACTTATGACAGTCATTCATCAACAAAAACATACCAAATTAAGAATTTTTATGTCGCTCACCAATTTACATGTACTATTGTAAAATTTTAAACAATTTTAAAGATCGATTTCAACTCTTAGACTTTACATATACACCTGGTTTTGAAAATATTTAGTGGTATATATATGCATTCAAAATTTCGATTTGATTATTATGATTAAAACGCATTCAACTTCAAATCTTAATGCCGATTCGTTCATTTACTAATTTCAATTCAGCCAAATAAGCGTTAAGAAAAGATTGCATGGAATATTAAAAAAATGTTCATATGATAAAAAAAAAACAAACGGTTAACACATTTCTCAAAAAAATGCATGGATCTTTTTTATAGAAATCATAACATATCCCTGAAAATCAATTAACTTCTTTTATCGTAGACTGACTGTTAAGAGTTTGTGTTTCTTGGGAAGGGGGGGGGGCAAAGTTATTTTGATATGGTTACTTTAATATTCTTAAATTTTAGTGAATTTGAAAAAATTATCAGGTCTTGACCCCCTGACCTATAGCCGCTTTTCTGGATCTGTCTATGGGGATATAATGAGAAATTTTAATTAAACTTTTATCTTTATAGATTCTGTTTCAGATTCTTAGTTTAAAGTTCTGATGTCTTAATATAGTGTGAAAATAGGTGAAATATTACAAAAGTTGCATTATAATCTCTTTATCATAGATTTATAAAAGAGAGAAAAAAAGTGTACAAGGCGAGGACAATCACCCGCTCTATGACGGAAAAGTTTAATTTTTCTAAAATTATGTTGTCGGTAATGTCATCTTCAACATATTTGATTCATATATTGTTCTGAAAGACATATTGATTGAAAATTGTTTTTAGAGTAATTTAGTCGAAAATGGGTACGTTTATATTTAATGATTCTAGCTATAAAGATTTATTTTTGAATATGAACGGATCAGGTTTCTATTCGAAGTCTAGTGTTTAAATTACGGAAAAGTAAATGCATTGTGTTTTTTTAATGGCGTCTGAACCCATTCTATCTAAAAATCGAATATTTCTGAAATGAAAAGAAATTGAGGATAATGAGCATTGATTTATGTCGAAAAATATACAAACAATACAAACATGTGAGCAGGGCATAAATACGCCCCCCCCCCTCCTCCGGAATACCAGTGGTGGGATCAGGTGCCTAGGAGGAGTAAACATTCCTTGTTGATCGGTCACATCCGCTGTGAGCTCTATGTATTGATCAAGTAAACAGAGCATTTCATAATCAAATTTAGTATAAAAACAAAGGTAAAACAGTTGGATAAAAGAAGTAAGCCCCAAAAAACCGACCCAAGATAAATTAAATGATAGGTTGAAAAACATTATTTGTCTCAACAAATTCGTTTCTTTAAAGCAAACTGACACACAAACATCAAGAAGACACCGTAGCATATCGTGGTTAACGCATTCAGTCTTACGCTATCATGAGCTTTGGAAAAAGTTCGAATAGTTTGTGAAGCCTTTTTTCCGTTTACATACCTTTAAAGCATAAGTGAAAATATATTACGTGTATTTATCATTAAGTTATTTAATGACATAAACTTGAGACAGTGTCTTTGGATTATACTCCCCCCATATACGCCTTCATTCTTCAAGAAGTATTCTACTCAAATCAAACATAGCATTTCTGTATCAATCACGACAAAACGCAAATCAAGTATCGCACAAACACCAGCAATGATAGCACATTTCATCAAATTCTATGATTATTTATTTCTGTTTAACTTCTTTCGACTGATAAATGTTTCTCTTGTGATAATAAACGCCAATATTTTTTCAAAACTGTTTAAATCGCGATAATTTTATCAAAAAATAATAAAACTTAATTTCATGCAAATCACAAAAAGGATCCGAAAAAAGTATAGCCATCGCAAAAATATGTTGCAAACATAGTATAGCATTCACTCAAAACAAGAATAGCTAAATTTCTCTAAAAAGCGTAATTTATAGAAATCAGATGATGTTTCGTGGGTGAACTGAGGTGAAAACTTAGATACAATAACTTTTACAACAGAATATAGTTTAAAAAAATTAAGAACAATTGAAATAATTCAAAATGAGCAAAAATCCCATTTTAACTTAGTAAATGAGAACGGTATCGAATTTCTAACATGTTTCAACCTAAAAAATTTCTCAAATAAATTTACTTTGTTTCTATAAAGGTTTAAATAGTTTCCTAATTTCTTAAAGTTACTTTTACCCATATTTTGTCCGCAGATTTTTCTTTTTTACCCATAATGCATCAGAGTACCCAAAGCAATATAGCTAGTGATCCAAATCAAGTAGATTTTCGATTAGCACTTTGTATACAGTGAATAAGACAAATGTCAAGGTATACTCACAAGAAATACTCGTATTTTGGAGAATTCTGCTGAGGGTTGTCCTTGATAGATTTTCTGAATGAACATGGTCTTCAATTAAAAAAATATCATTGTCAATTATAAGTGTATACTACAGAAGGGTATTCGTACCACGTAATATTTTTTAAAGTTGCAAATTCCAATGTTGAAGTTGACGTTTTAAGTAAGTAAATGTAAATACAACTTTGAAGTTGGCAACTCCAACTCTAAAGTTCGATTTATTGAAAAAGCCAACTTTAAAGTTGGAATTGCCATTTTTTAAGTTTAACTTTCAAAAAAAAAAATTAGGTTTCGCTAATTCTTTTTCACGTAAACTGGAGTAATGAAGATTTGGACTCCTATTATCCTAATACCTTTCAGGTACTTGAATGCTCCCTTCAGGTACTTGAATGCTCCCTTCAGGTACTTGAATCCTCCCTTTAAGGTCTGAACTGCCCGGCTCATTGAGGATAAAGACCATCTCAGCAGCCTGGGTATGGCGGTACTAGCAATTACTGCAGCAGCAGAAACGCCCATCTCAACCGCCATCTGTTAACAGCAATGACGAAAAAAATTAGTTTCGTTAGAATTCAATCTAATTAAAATTAGATGTTAGATCCGCTCGCATCAATCTATTTAAAATTAGATGTTAGATCCGCTCGCATCAATCTATTTAAAATTAGATGTTAGATCCGCTCGCATACTCGCTACACTAACATCGGTAGGATTTCATTTGTCATACCGGCGTACGCCGAATGCGCCGCTTGACCTTTCGCAACCCGGCTTGTTATTTCATTTGTGAAGTCACATCATGTTCGGTATTGTCAAAATTTTACACAATCCATGGTGTTTGATCTGATGATCTGCGCCTGTCAACTCGACGTGATACGACCCTTCGGATCAAGTTACTGTTATAATAATATATATTTATATATCCTACCCATGCAGTACAACTCTCATCAGTTCAGAAGTAAACTTCAGGAGATAACTAGGCAAGTACTCTTAAAGTAAAACCAACTTGATCTTTCCCTTGGCTTCAATTAATATAAAGTTTTAATTTTTGAAGAGAACTACCTCCTCATTACAATATTATTTCTAACAGATTCAAGCTCCGGTGGCCATATAGCCGATTGGGGTACAGCACCTGACTAGATAAAATTCAGGGGACAAATGTTTTCCTGCCCTGTTAAAATCAGTAACCAAAATTAGGAAAGTGCAATCAAATAAAGTGTTCAGTTACCAGTAATTCATCTTTGCCTTACTAAAAGAATACAGTGTAAACAAATTCATCACGTAATGTATGGTATATTTCAATATTTCTCTCCAGTTCAGATATAATGCCTGATCACTCGGACTGCATACATGTAAGAATAACTGATATAAGAACTCTTTACATAGTGTGAAGTGGTCAAAGGGATCTATGTATTCATCAAAGGGGTGAGAAGCCATTGCCAGAATGATATTCGCTTCCGGGTTCTTCAGCATTAATCCTCTCTGTATTTCGATTTCCCTCATGCTGGACGGTCAGATAGTAAGGATCCTGCGGTTGACAACTATCTGTATGATCATAAGAAAGCAATGCATTAAACAAAGTGAAACTTTTATAATCAGGATATTTTCTACATGTTCTCCGAAAAACGTTGTAAACTTTAAGTCCATTTCAAAAATTCAATTGCTTAAGGACAGATGAAACAAACCAAAAAATGGATGCCTGGATTGGTGTATATATATATATATATATATATATATATATATATATATATATATATATATATATATATATATATATATATATATATAATCCAAAAGTCTGATAAAAAAATCCACACAAGTATTTAAATAGTAAAAAATAACAGAATGCTGAGTAAAACTCTACCGGTTTCAATTGTATCATCAGGAGTTTGACATATTGCTATAGATACAAACATTTCAAAGTATATTGTGACGTCATGTAACGTCAAAAGTGTTGCGCTTTAGTACAGTTCATTGTGACGTCATTATGTTACGTTATTACGTTAACAGTTAGACAAATAATGCGGGAAAATTGTAAATTGTCTATTATGACAGGGCGTTTAGCTTTGGTTTAAACAATGAAATAAAATGTTTTTCCTTGGTTTCACGTTCCTTTTCGGAAGTCTTGTTATAGAACTTGTATATAGGAAACACTGTAAAATTAGGAAAAATGTTTTCAGCACATGTTCTGATATGTCCGCTCACGGCAGTACACTGGTATTCAGTTTGACGAATTTGTTGACGATGGACGGTCATGCGGTGTCTTAGGGTGTCCATCGTCAACAAATTCGTCAAACTGAATACCAGTGTACTGCCGTGAGCGGACATATTAGAACATGTGCTGAAAACATTTTTCCTAATTTTACAGTGTTTCCTATATACAAGTTCTATAACAAGACTTCCGAAAAGGAACGTGAAACCAAGGAAAAACATTTTATTTCATTGTTTAAACCAAAGCTAAACGCCCTGTCATAATAGACAATTTACAATTTTCCCGCATTATTTGTCTAACTGTTAACGTAATAACGTAACATAATGACGTCACAATGAACTGTACTAAAGCGCAACACTTTTGACGTTACATGACGTCACAATATACTTTGAAATGTTTGTATCTATAGCAATTTGTCAAACTCCTGATGATACAATTGAAACCGGTAGAGTTTTAATCGGCGTTCTGTTATTTTTTACTATATATACATATATATATATATATATATATATATATATATATATATATATATATATATATATATATATATTAAAAAATGGTAAAAAGAAAACACAAAAATCCTCAGTTAAGCTTTAGCGCTTTCATTTTCAATCTTCAGAAGCTTATAATAGTATCATAGTAACAGTGATTATGACGTCATGTTAAGCGGAACGTTAAATGTTTATTATGACGTCATAGATACAATATGACAAAAGTACGGGGAAATCACAAGTAATTTATAAAACACTATTAAGTTTTGGCTGAAAAATACTAATAAAATGTTTTTCTTTTTCCCGTCTCTGGATATCGGTGGCACAACTGAGTTTATAGAAAGGGAAAATTCTGAATTGTTTTTTACCACACGCCTCCAGGTGCGAACTTAATTGAATTTGTCTGTATTCGGGTGTACTAATGTGTTGCTTATGTACACGTACACGGGCACGGAGAGTGTTGCCGGTTTCACCAATATAATATTCCTTGCATCCAGGACATGTGATGACATAAATGACATTTTTTGTATCGCATGACATGTTTTCTTTAACTCTAAATTCACGCCCATTGAAATTATAGCTGGTCCCTTCTGTAATGTATTCACATGTACCGCATCTAGGGTTCTTACACTTAGAGACTGTATAAGTATGGTCGTTGAATTGGGAAGAACAAAGTATTCTCTTTAGGTTTTTGGATTGGCGTTTACTGTTGATAAAACGAGAGTTCTTGTATACGTTTTTCGTTTGTTCGTCCTCTGTAAGTAGGTTGTTTAATTCATGAATAATTGAACTCACGTTTTGATTTCTCGGGTTATGCGTGTGCACAAATGGAATTATTTCAACGTCATTCGCACGTCGTATGTTTAAAAGTAACTGACTTCTATCGCACTCCTTGGCTTTCTTTATACCATTATCTACAAGTTGTTCTGGATATTTTTGGTTTAATAAATATAATTTTAATTCCTCCAGTCGAATATCCCTGATATTGGTATTACTCACAATGGTGCATATCCTTCTTGCGAGGTTATATGGTATAGCTGTTTTAGTGTGATGGGGATGGCTTGATCCAAAATGCAGATATTGGTGTATGTCGGTTGGTTTATAGTAAATATCCGTATTTAAGCTGGTATTATCCTTTGTTACAAGAACATCGAGGAATGGCATTTGCAAATCATCTGTTTCCATCGTGAATTTAATATCCGAATTCATTTGGTTAAGTAAATCATAAAACTCCGTTAGTTTATCGACATCCTCCTCCCATAAGATAAAACAATCGTCTAAAAATCTTTTCCATTTAGACCGTATTTTGTTTGCAGATTCTATCCCCCACAACGTACACAGTTGATCATGTAATTTATGTTCTAGATAACCAAGGGTTAATGTTGCATAGGTAGGTGCGACTTTTGTCCCCATTGCTGTTCCCTTAATTTGGAGGTAATGATGGTCTGCAAACTCAAACGTATTGTTATCTAGAATTAATTTTAGAGCCTCTAGGATGAAGTCCCGTTGAAACCTGTTGTTTAGAACATCGGGATAATTTTCAGTCCAGAATTTGACAGCTAGCAATCCCAATTCTGTAGGAATATTTGTATACAAACTTACAACATCCAGTGTGACAAGTTTGGTGTTAGAGGTGACATGAGTAGGTAAATGATTTATAAAATCAAGATCGTCTCTCACAAAGCTGGGTACTTTTTGACAATATGGTTTTAAAAGTATATCCAATAAATGACTCAGTCTTTGCGTTGAAGAGTTCGGTCCTCCTACAATTGGTCTGAAGCTTAAATCAGCGGGATCAGCACATGTAATACATATACTATTTTGCTCTTTTATGGCATCCTTTATAATTTTAGACTTGTGCACTTTAGGTAAACCATAGAATTGACTCTCTCGGAATTCAAAGTTTGTCAGGTAGTCCTTTTCCTTATCTGTTAAGCCCTCCGATAGTGGTCCATATACTAAGTTTTTTATTTTTGTAATTGTTTTCTTCTCATGACAGTTGCGCAATTTTTCATAAAAATTATTGTCTTGCAACATTTGTAAAATTTTACTTTTGTAAAAATCCTTATTCATAAGGACGACTCCGCCTCCTTTATCGGCCTCTTTGATTATGATGGTAGGGTCATCTCTGAGGTTTTTAAGAGCCTTTTCTTCTTCCTTAGAAAGGTTTGGTTTAATAGTCCTGGGTTTATTTGGGAAATGAATATTTTCCAATGTGTCGCAAACAGCATCTAAAGTTTTATTTCTTCCTCGTTTTGGGTTAAACTTGGATTTGTTTCTAACAAGGTCTGTTTCTTCTGCGTCTGTAGACTCGGAATCAGATTCACTGGTATCACTTTCATGAAAATATTCACGTAGCCTGAGTCGCCGAGTATAAGCTTTTATATCCGTTTTAAGCTCTTGATTATTTACTTGAGGCGTAGGGGTGTATTTTAGACCCTTAGACAGTAACTTGTTGTCGTTTTATCAACAGTAAACGTCAACCCAAAAACCTAAAGAGAATACTTTGTTCTTCCAAATTCAACGACCATACTTATACAGTCTCTAAGTGTAAGAACCCTAGATGCGGTACATGTGAATACATTACAGAAGGGACCAGCTATAATTTCAATGGGCGTGAATTTAGAGTTAAAGAAAACATGTCATGCGATACAAAAAATGTCATTTATGTCATCACATGTCCTGGATGCAAGGAATATTATATTGGTGAAACCGGCAACACTCTCCGTGCCCGTGTACGTGTACATAAGCAACACATTAGTACACCCGAATACAGACAAATTCAATTAAGTTCGCACCTGGAGGCGTGTGGTAAAAAACAATTCAGAATTTTCCCTTTCTATAAACTCAGTTGTGCCACCGATATCCAGAGACGGGAAAAAGAAAAACATTTTATTAGTATTTTTCAGCCAAAACTTAATAGTGTTTTATAAATTACTTGTGATTTCCCCGTACTTTTGTCATATTGTATCTATGACGTCATAATAAACATTTAACGTTCCGCTTAACATGACGTCATAATCACTGTTACTATGATACTATTATAAGCTTCTGAAGATTGAAAATGAAAGCGCTAAAGCTTAACTGAGGATTTTTGTGTTTTCTTTTTACCATTTTTTAATATTGTTATCCGATTACTGAGACACTATTTAAATTTTGGATATATATATATATATATATATATATATATATATATATATATAGTTGAAAATAGTTCACAGTCGATGTCACACAGGTGAAAATAATTATAAAAGAAAAAGAAAATGAAGTTTCCAAATTTCATTTAACACAAGCGCTTTCTGGATTTCATAATCCGTCTTCAGGGGTGCGTTCAACAGCGTAGCTGCTACGTAGCCGCTATGTAAAGCTACGCTCTTGAACGGACGGCTAACCAAGCTGCTACGTATGGAGAGCTAGCATAAATATTTAATGCTACGTCCCAAATCCAAGATGGTTTCCTTGGTTACAAATCTGCAGCATTCAAGATTTTTACAAAAAGGAGGGTTATTTCCTATATCTAAGTGAATTAAATGTAAATTTAAATATATATTTTCGTCTGAAATAAACTTTATTTGTTCCAGTAATAAGTTTTTACTGATAAATCTTTATTCAAAATATAACACTTAGCAGCTAAGTTAGCTGTCTGTTCAATAGAGATAGATATCTACTATTTAGCTGCTAAGTTAGCTGATACGCCGTTGAACGCACCCCAGGTGTACATAAATTGAACTGATTGTTTTGCTTAGTAACGTTAACTATGACGTCATGACGTCATGAGAGTCTTTGCAGGGAAGGAAGTAAACTATGACGTCATAGTATGGCTACGTTGCGTAAAAGTTAGGGAAATTCAAATTGGACAATAATGGACAATAAATCACATATTTTTCAGTCTCAATAAACAAAGCAAACAGAAATTCTAATTGATGATATATAAAAAATTAGCTAATTTCTCAATGTTAATGTTTGTTCAATTTTGGTGAAAAAAGATATAAATAAATATATATATATATATATATATATATATATATATATATATATATATATATATATAAAGCACAAATTACAACAACTCTTAAACTAATATAACTGCTCTAAGTGAAGGAATATTAATATAGAAAGCACAGAGAAATTCACTTTTTACAAGGATACTCATTCCGCCCCAGCCCGGGGTTGAACTCTCGACCTACGGAATCTGTCTCCTAGCAGTATATATATTTACCTAATTTCATTGCAAATGATGCAACTAATAGATTTCTAGAATATCAAGAAATTGTAAACAAAATTCTACCCCTCTGAAACCATCCTTCTTATTCTATACAAATATTTTTCACCTCAAATTCCATTTTTGTGAGATTTTGAATAAAAAATTAAAAACTACGCGGTGAAACTTACTCATTTTAATCATTAAAACATGACCCAATTTGTTTTTTTCCAAAATTTTTGACAAAAGTTTGTTTGTATCATCTATCCTTAAAATGCTGTCTAATCCGAGGAGATCTCTAATCTGGTCACTTTCTTTGAAAACAGTAATATCCGGATGAGAAAAATTGCGATGGAGTTGAGTTTTCAGCGAGTTTTGCTTTATTTGCCTTATTTATGTTCCATTTTTACTCGTATTTTATGTTTCACCGTTGATTAAATGTGCAAGAGCGTGCTCTACATACAAACAATTTCTAAAACGAGTCAAGCTGTTGACAAACAAGTTGAAACATGAATATCAATGGACTCGATTAATGTCATTATTTCTGAATGAAAACTTAATGGTCGATACAATGACAATGATCTGCTTGTCAGCAATTACTATCATGACTGACATTTTCATACATATTGTTAGAACATTAAATTTTCATACGTCATACTGTCTTTTGATTCCTCTGTTTGCTCGATCATGCTAAGAAACACATAGTGGATGAATCATCGAAAGGGATTCTTACTCTTTTACGACACCAGGGGCCCGTTTCATCAAAAGTCGTAAAGTTAAGCCTTAACTTAGGCGTACTTCCGGGGCTTACGCCAAAATTTAGTCGGGCGTAATTAGCGTTTCACCAAGTGGCGTAAGTCTAGTCGTAAAAGATACGCTTAGTCACAGGACTAAGTCCTTGACAACGTTGCACTGCGCAGGCGCAAAAACATAAACATTGCCCAATGCGTACAAACATGTATAAATAACACAAATTTTATATTTATTAATACTTGCACTAATTGAAACATGCATGGGTTTATAGTGTCATGTAGGAGACACAAATGTAAAAATCCAATTTTATTTTATTTTTTTTAACAACATTTCAATAATAAAAGTCTTATAAATTAAAAGGAAGAAAAGGACCGTACATGTACATGTATTTTGGAATCAAGCAAAACTATTTATTTTGGAATTTTAATTACAGCCACTCCCCCTCTCTTCCCGAAATTGATTAAGGTTAATGACTTCGCCTTAGATAATAAATTTCATGATAAATACTGATTCTACTGAAAAATACTTAAAATTAAGTTTGAGGCAGAATAAGATTTAAAGCAAGCAAAAATAATGAATACAAAATGCAAACGGTTTACATAATTTTATGTATACATTTTGAGTCAAGAAATAAATTTTACACGTTTACTACTAAGGTACATGTAAGTTAATCCTCTCTAAATTTATTAAATTTTTGTCAATTCAAATCATTATAACATAAAATGTTTTTGTTTATTAAAATGACACAAAGGTTCATCATATAATTACAAATTACTAGACTATAGGTCGTGCAGATATAGAAAAAAATTCTTTACTTTCTGCAGATTAAATGTATAATGTACCGTTTTAAAAGTACGCAGAGAGAGAGAGAGAGAGAGAGAGAGAGAGAGAGAGAGAGAGAGACTACAAAGATATTCTTACAAAAATTCTCTGCTTGTGTGGTCTCTGTCTTTAATAAAAGTAACAGCTACTCTTTATTTTGTTTTCATTAAAAATTAAGTTATGCAGGAAATCAAAAACATGTATATTTTCATCTTATATGTGCTTTATATGCGCTCAGATTATCTTACACTACAATGTATGTAAAATTTAATCCTAAACAAATTCATGAAAATTAAAGATGTATTCTGCATCAAAGTTTAGGAATAATTCATGTTATAAAAGCAATAATATATTTCCCCATTTCAAAATCTCTTATTGTTTATGATTCCCCCCCTCCCTCGGTTCCGTCTTAGATTCGCCGGAAACTTCACTTGTCCCAGATACCTAGAAAATTATTACTTTCGTCTTTAACTGAGTATTCTGTACATTCAATGTTAATTGCAAATTCGGGAGGTTCTGAACCCTCTCTCAGACTACCTCTAGATCTACGCATGTGGACGAGAAGTAAATAAGAAATGGACTCTTCAAACATACAAAAAACTATTTGGTTTTAAGATGGGTTAATTTTTTTTATTTGAAATTTTTTCTTAAATGTAGAAAATTACCAGAAAGAGGATTAGTATGCTTTTGAAACCGATTATTTTTGTTTGTTTGTTTGTTTGTTTTTTCATAAAATATGTTATTGGGAAAATATTTCCTTTCTAAATAGACAATTTTAATGGGTTTCTTTTTAGTGAGTGAAAGTGAAAGCGATGAAAGCGAAACCAGAGGTACCGTGATCAATGAGTTCAATAAAAGATACCCCCCCCCCCGCCTCCAATATAAATATAGTGGCGGTGTCCATGTTTTACTGCAGGAAAACCAAAATATGTATCGGATCAAAAAGTACAATAAGGCACAATGGCAATATGTAATAAAGATTCTGTGAAAATTTCATCAAATTTCAATCAGTGGTATGAGAGGAGTTTCGGATAGAGATGTGTACCTCCAAAGCGTAACAGACGGACGGACGGACATCCCGATTTCTATTTAGTATTTACATGTACCCTCCCGCTTTTCAAGCGGGGTGTAGAAATATAGTTTTATACACATGTATGTACATGTATATTGATTTACAATACCTTATACATACAACATGTACAATACCATCAAATGTGTATGAATGCATTGTCAAAACGTAAGAAATGGTGATCGAAAAAATCTCTAATAAGACAAGCTTTTCTTCTCATCAGAAATTTATTAAAATATTAAGTACGTAATTACTCAAATCAACTACGTCCCAAAGTAGTTGTAAGACACCCCCCCCCACATACACACTTCATAATATGTGTAATTAAACAATGCATTGTTTGCATTTTAAATTCTTCTCAGAAACGCACTTTTTCTTTAGAACTCGCTAAATTGTTTAAAATTAATAAAAAAGGCTTTAATTTAACTTTACGCCCTAACTTACGCCTACCCATGAGTAGACGTAAAATTTTGTCCTAAATTTAGTCAGGCGTAGTGATACGCTCTTTATTGAAATGCAAATCTTCGTGCTAGTCCCGAATTTACGCCGGCGTAGCTCTACGATTAGGCGTACGACCTTTGATGAAACGGGCCCCTGCTCCTATTTCTGATGTTTTTATAGGCCTGGGCTTGTTCTACTCTCAATTTATATTAGTTTTGAGCTTCATTTTGTTATTATCTCCATATTTTGTTGTACTGACTTTTACCTGTGTCTAAATTAAGTCTTTAGATTTTAATCCTTTTGTTTTAGTGTTCCCAGCACTTTAGAATTTGTAAATTTTCGAGCTATTCTTTCTGTTCATTAATTCAAGTCGAGTTCAAGAGTTACCTCGCCTTTTTTCCCACTACAGACGCAAAAATAGAACTGCGAAGAGAATGGCCAAAAAGCTGGTAATACGTATTCCCACAATAAGCAAAATCTGCATTAAGGACCTAAAATATAGAGAAAACAACCTTCAATAGGTGTAATGTCTTTGGTTTCCTTTAAAGTTAAAATATAATGTAGATACGTTTTCAATTAAGTTCTCGTAATGAATCCATATCAAATCTTATAACAATTGTCAACTTATGTTTAAACAGGAAGATAAAAGTATTACATTCACCCAACTCACAAGTCTGAAGAATCATCGTCGGTTTGTGGCTTGTTCAAAAATTCTCGGCAGAGTTTACAGTCTGTAGGATTCGGACATTCTGTTTCTACAGAATATTCTGGAAGTATTTCATTCTTTTGATTAAATACTAGGCCACTTGATTGGGTTCGAATAATTTACGTCCGACCTATATAGAGAAATTGCAGAATTAATGATGGCTTGCAAAAGCTAAATTAGTTTTAAATCTACAATTCCTGTGAATCATATTACAGACAAGGAATCTAGTAATTTTTATAAATTTCTTGTTGGAAAATGAAGAAAAATGAAGATTAGTAAAAAGATAATATAAATATCTGCATCCTAGTAAGTATCTATATGAAACTTACCGCCAAAAGGATTTCATGAATCAAGTAAAACAAACAAAATAAGATTTTTAATATGTTGCAATAATTATTAGACTTAACACCAGTGATTTACAAATTATTCATCACACAAATGTATTTTCCTGTACAATATTAGCTAGTGAATGAAACATAAGGAGATAACGAACAGTATTCAAGATCAAAAGTCCATAAAACAATACAAAACAGGAGCAGAGCAAACACAGACCTCCAAAACATCAGAGGTGGGATATGGTGGCAGGAGGAGAGAATATCCGATATGCAATGGAAAGATTTTTTTCAACATCCTTATTGTACTCAAGCCACATAAACAAATACAGTTGTATGGATTTGTTTGTCGTAAGACAGTAGCAAGTTTTAATTCTCCTTTCAAGTAAGACATTGTCTCAAAAACGTTACGTGCAAAATTCAGAGTTCTGATTTGATTTAATTGTACCGAGTATACACATGTACATGTATACAGCGTACATGTTGTTGTATTCTGTTATAAAAAATTCTTTTCTTACTTACCAATTCATAGGACAGCTCCCCTTCTTCAGAAACAATACGATAAATCCGATGCCCATATTTTCCATTTCCGTTTTCATCAAAAACGGGTACAGGTAAATCATTTTGATCGAGATCTAGGTGGACATTTTTTATATGTTGTAAAACCCTCTTCGTATCTGAATAATCTGCGCATATTTTCGACGTTGTCAGGCAAATCTCGCGCAAAGCTGTTGCCGAACCTTTTAGAAGAGCAAGAACAGCATTGTAAAGATATGGTGTCCAAGGGTCCAAAAGGGCGCTGTCGTTCTTAGTTAAATGGTCATTTGGTCCACATTCTCTGGACAAAGTTTTGGATTTGTTGAAACTCCATGGGTAATAGCATCCTTGACGGCTTTGAATTGCGTTAAGAAGCCAAGAATTATCATCGGTTGGTTTGGGAGTCTTTGTCTGTAAAAACTGGAGATAAGAAGGAATTTGGTTCATTTCTTGTGCTACAGATAATGTCCCTTTTAATCGGGGGATAAGGTACTGCTTGCGAGTACCAACAGTCTCTGAACCTATAAAGTGAAACTCGTCACCCGATTGCATTTCGTCTGTGATTGCCTTCATTACGATAGGTCCAACATGAGAACGAAGAAAAGTCAAAACCACCTTGGCCGAAGGTTTGACTCGAAGCTTCTCCAGTACATTGAAATAGTTAGACTTCTCAGGTACTTCTATAGTATTTGCCACACAGATGTCATGTTTCTTTGCACTAGATATAATGACATCTTTTCCATCTTCTCTGTAGAATCCAGAACTGTATATAACCTGAATGTATAAGGCGTTGAGTTGTTTCGCTAATTGAACCATTGTGTCTGCCGTGTGTTCTAGTGAGGTTGAAACACGTATAAAATTTGGATACAAGTCTCTATTGTTCAATTCTGGAGTTGTTGAACAGCATCCGACCTAAAAATTACAAGAAATGAAACATTAGTTTAAAACAAAGTGAAACACATACCCACTTACAGACAAAATAAAAAAAACCCTATCGGCTCGCCAGCTTTTTCCTGATGTTCACCTTTATCTGTCATCATTCAGTGATCATGAAAGCAGCAACATGTAGACAAGGATAATACAATATATTATTTAACAAGCCTTTTATACATCGCCAATAAAAATATGAAAAAATCTTTAGAGATAGAAGGAAATTTAACCTGTGGTTTTCCTTGCAGCTCTTTCGTGACCGAAACCATGGCCAAAGTAGGAGTACTTCCCAAGGATCCGACAAATCCCAGGATTCGGTCCTTTATATCAGAAGGCAGTCTCGGATAACCATCCTCTCTGAATAGACGGAGCACCCTCTCCTGAATTACAAGGGGATCATTGCAAGTATCTAGAATGATGAATCCAAATGACGTGCCATCGAAAATGGTTTTGTTTTGATTTATTTGGTCGACAGCATGTTCAACTGTCAGTGCTACATCAAGACCAACGTTGCTTCTCAACCCTCCACATGTTAGAGGCTTCGTGCCAACGTTATGTATTGCGAAAGCAGCAACAATAATGAGGTCTCCAGGTTTGTAGTATATTTGCTCGTCGTCATGTAGGCAATTTGTACATATGTTGCCCGGTTTACATTGAGCTTTGTGATAACTACTTCTTTCCTTTCCAGCTTGGTCATAATCTTTTAACAGAGATTGGTTTATTGCTATTTTGTTATCAGAAAAACTTGCCACCTACAAAAACATGCAGTTTTTTTTATTACAAAATTTATCATTATTTCGTTAATCTCAAAATTTCAAAATATTTTGAACTTTATCCATTGATGAGATGTGTAAAGGTAATATTACCCTAACAAAACAGTACTTGGATTCGTCCTCCAAACATCTGCGGTGATTATACACTGAGAATACTTCTGCATTCTTTTGTGGTTGAATATTACCATTTTCGTCAAAAATAAGTCTTTGATCCAGTTTAAACATTGATTCAAACTCTGTCGTTGAGTTAACCTCTATATCTCTTACTGCTTTCGATAAGTTTTCTATTCCATCTTCAAGAAGAGATGAGCAAGATTCGTTCTTGCAAACTTCATTCTTTGAATTTTTTAAAGCTTTTGCAAACATAGATACTGCATCCACAGCAAACTTGATATAGATATTCTTTGAAATAAAATCATCTATTTCTTGTTCTGTTGGTTCGATACAAGTCAAATCTTCGTGAGAACACCCTTTTACATCAAAGAAAACATCCTTTAACCAAGGATTGGTTTGTATTTCGTATAATAGCAATGTTTTATTCGTAAAAATAGCTTTCCAGTGTTCCAGGAAACTATCCACCGGTTGATATTTAGGGCTAACTACAAGATTTCCTCTTGATGCCGCAATAGTCTCTGCTTTAAACACCTCTTTAGACATTCCAACACCTTCTGAAAAAATGATTGATGGTGTGTCTTCTCCGAGATTAAGGTCCTTCGTGGCCGTCAACAATTTCTCAGCAGACGACTGTCCTCCAAAGAAAACTATTCCGCTGACTGCGCCACCTTTTGGTAAGGTGACATCTGAAATTATTTGACTAAGAACTGATATTTGAACTCCGTTTGTAGTATTGAAACCATTAACGGTGCGAATGCAAATTCCGTGATTAAGGAGTTGTGTTTTCAATGCTTCAGCACCATGTCGACCGTATGCGTTGTTCTCGCGCACAATAGATATGTAGTTCCAATGTAATTCCAACATTAGAGTGATTATAACCTGTCAAAGAAAATAATATGCAATGGGCAGCAGTTAAATATGCAAAGGGCAGTAAAATTAAATAAGCATATCTTTCCATCTATCCTTATCTTAAAAAATGGTCGTAAGAATTCTATGTATGACTTAAGCTTATATGCATAATGCAAACTGGTAGAAAACACGTTTTCTGTTATTTGCCCTTAAATTTAAAGACAATTTAATAAAAAGAAAAATTGTTGTATTTTTTATATTAATGAATAACTAAAACTACAGATAAGTGACACTCTTAAGTAACGTTAACCTCGACTTGTATTTTATCTGAATAAATTGTCCTGAAGAAGTTGGGAAACGTCGACTTATCACTAAGCGACACAGAGGTAGAAGAATATGAGATCATAGGTGGCGCAATGGAACGAGGAAGTCTCGCGAGAACTGTTGACATTGATTCGGAATCGGAACTCCTCTCCGCTCCGACGATTCCTGCAAAAAATGAATTCGTCAAATGAAGGAATAAATTGCTAAACTAAATTAATTTTTTATATGTTTAACTTGGATCCAAATGTATGTGTAATATCCCTGAATTTAAGTTGGGTAACACGTGTTTTACAAAAATCTTTCCTTTAAAGATCAGCGAGTTTAATGTTCATTTTCTTCATATATATTGCGGTCAAATTCGAAGATTTTAAAGAAATGATATAATTTATATAAATAGATTTTGAAATATCTCGCAAGAATGTCAGCTTTTTATGTTTGTTTACACTCATTTCTGTATTTTCGTATCCATATCATCATTTAAAAGGGGTTTTTCGAAGGAAATTCCTGTTTCTCATTCTAAACTGTAATCTATGGGCCAATATTTAGAAAATAATAAATTAGACTCTTAACAGTCAAGAAATTGTACCCTTGTAATAAAATATGACCCAGTATAAAACATGACATTCCAACACTCACGGTTAACATGTTTTACTGTTTGCTCCTACCTATGATGTTTTCTGATTTTTCCTTGATTGCTGTGGAAATTTCCACTGCTCTATATCCGGCCAACTCTTCAGATAAACATGTTGGATAAGCAATCAAACCTGTGACAAACCAAATATTTTCATAATAAATTACAGATTTTAGCTCTACTGGTCGAAGGCCAGAAGAGCATATGAGATAGTAATGTGTTCGTAGTCCGTCCGTCCGTCTGTCTGTAAACAATTTTTCACAATGCTACTCCTCCTACAGTTTTGGTCTGATTTCAATGTTTCTTTGCACAGAAGTAGACTACACGAAGATACATAATTCTGTATTCTGTATATCGTTTTTTTGATTTCGATGAACGGTGTTGCCATGGTACTAAATATAGAAAATTCTTTGATTTTTCAGAATGCTACTTTTCTTACAGTTTTAGTCTGATTTCAATATAACTTGGCACACAAGTAGACTACACTATTGACTAAGATAAATAATTCTGTTTATCGGTTTTTGATTTCGATGAAAGGTGTTGCCATGGTTATCAAAAAATAGAAATTTCTTTGAAATATTTTTAAAATGCTATTCCTACAGTTTTTATCTGATAACAATAAATCTTGACAAGAAAAAGACTAAACCAATGATATTTTATAATGTATTGCTGCTGCAATGTTTCAAGTTCAAATGCTACTTTTCTTTTCCTTTGTTATAGTACAAACCAGTAGAGTTACTGTCGTCATTTTAAGTGATATTGAATACTGTTCGTTATCTCCATATCCTTTATTCAAAGGAAAGCCAGTTATATACGTATAAATGTTTCTCATGTTTACATTCTATATTAATTAGATTTTCTATCCAATTTTGAGAATATAAAAATCAATATTTGAGACTCCAATCCAAGAAACTAGATAAAGTAGATTAAAGAGAAACCATAAAAGACCGACAGTTATCCTTATTTTCTACTCAAGAATTGAAAATCCAATATACAAATACATTGATTCTAACTTAAAACCCCTAATGAGGCCCAACATAAACATATTAGGTGCATGATTTTGAAAAGAAAAAACAAACGAATTGACCCTTAAAAGATGTTTACTTATTGCAAAAAGATGGTTAAGAGAATTCCCATGTATTCCTATACAACGCTTCGAATATTTATTTATAATAAACAATTAACTTTTATTATCATAAAAATCCAGTGTCATTTTACGATAATTTATTTAGTTCTGCGTTCTGAATTCATACAGTATGACAAGTCTGTAAAAATTCAATTTTAACTAAATCCTGAACTATTTATTTTTTAATAAAAGAGAGGCATCTGGCATTTTTGTTTCATCCAAGGTCGCTTAGAGAAACTTCAGGTTTAAAAAAAAATTTTAAAGTTACCTAATTGAACCCCGGGAATGAATTTGTGCTGATTAAGTCGACGAACTGCCCACTTGACTGCTTCTAGTCCCATTACTGAGGTAATGGATACGGGACCATTGCATTCATGTCCAAATGTTGTTGAGGATTTTATGGTAAATATTCCCGCCAAGTAAACGTCACCTGACACTGATATTACCGGGGTCAAGGTCGCAGAGCTCAACATCACGTTCACAATAACCAAAGATATTACTCTGAAACAACGATAAAATATATCATGATAAATTAAGGATAATATTGTGTGTTTGAAATGACATTTTTAAAACATTCTTTGTATAACGTGTCAAACAAATGAAACAACATTTATTTGCATAAGTGAATACGTCAAATGAAAGAAGATTAAATGACATTCAAAAACATGAGAAGCAACCCAGAGCAAAAATCGAAACCAGGAAGTGAAATTTCTTACTGAATAGACATCGAGATCTTTCGTGCGTTACACATGAAGACTCTTACCTCCAGTCCATTTACTTTTCTTCTGATTATCTGGACGGGGAAATTTGAGAATTCTAATATTTCCCTTTCTCCTCCCCCGGGACAAAAAGACGATGCCTCACCCAAATCAAATCTTCTGGTGGATGTCGCAAGGAAAATATTTAAAACCCGTAAAGCGTTCACCGTTTCTCTGTTTCTTAAACCTTAACCGTCATTCTCGAAATAAGTCGTCGTGCATAAATGAACATATTAAGATTTTTTAAAAACTGAATTAAACCTCAAAGATGTTTATGGATCGCCCTTGATATCTTGTTTATTTAAATTTTAGGAGGATATGATAATAGTTATAATCGTTTCTATTGTAAATCAATGGATGGTGGTCTGGAACATTGATCATAAATATAATAAATATACAAATTCCTTCGTTTTCTGTTTTTATTACTACCTTATAGAAAAGGTTTACTTATATACATTTAAGGATTTCTCCTTTACGTATATTTGTCTCGAAGATACAAATTTGAAAATAGGAGAATTTTTTTTTAATTTAATGTCCAAGCTAACAAATAATTATTCTGTGATCATATTTTTTTCCACTCATGAAGCTTATTTAGATAATAAAATGCTTTCTTTGGTTGCTAGTAATTAGAACCTTTGCAGCTGTTGCAAACATAACTTGCGTATTTTTTTTTAAATTTTTGGTTGCAATAGCTGTATTATTAATTCCCTTACTACATATGTGATAATCAGAGAGAGAGAGAGAGAGAGAGAGAGAGAGAGAGAGAGAGAGAGAGAGAGAGAGAGAGATTTTTTTATTTCTATATCATTTATCATTGAAATATGATGATGACAAACAGTAAATGAAAACAATACAAAATGGGAACAGAACAAACAGAGGCATCTAAAGACATCTGAGTTTGGATCATGTGCCATGGAGGAGCAAGCATCCTGTGTCCACCGGTCACACTCACCGTGTGCTCTATGCCATGATCGGACAAAAGCGTGATAATTAAAGCCTAGCAATTTGTATGAATAATGTTTTTCAACATTCAACTTCAGTAAGATTGTTTTTGTTGACAAGTAAATTGTATTGACCATATAAATTGCAAAATATTGACTTTAAATGAGACTATTGATATGTTTGTTTATAGTTGCTTTCGTTTTAGAATTGTCAGTAATTAGAGCATGTTCTTATTTTTCGAATAAACTTGGAAACATAAACCTCATTTACAGGCGATAATTTTCATTAAATATATATATATATATATATATATATATATATAATATATATATATATATATATATATATATATATATATATATATATAAATTAAGAAATTGACGATAGAAAAGTTGAAATCATCAAGTTTATAATAAGTTTTTGTTGTTATATTACATGACGTCTTTTTATGGAGACAACTAAGACAGGCATTTTTACCTACTGTATTTTACAAATGAACGAAAACAAATGAAGAGTTCCATTTTCGTATTTTGTTTTAAAAAAAAAAAAAAGCTGTCAATTACATGAAGAAGCCTAAACTTTAATTAATACGAATCCTAAACTGAACAAACACAACGTTTGAAAAAGTACATATTTCCAATTGTTCAAAATATTTTATTAATTTATAAAAATAGAAATCAACATGATTAGTATTTCCTTTAATTAGTTAATGATGTCTTTGGGGTTTCTATCTATTGTAAAAGATGAGTTACATTATACCATTTTGCACTTAAAAAAGAATTTAAAGTGTATTATACAATATATAATTGAGAATGAGAATAATTGTTTAAAATGCCATACATAAAAAAATGATGCAATTTATTCATGACGTATTTTTAGAATTAGGTTGTTCAAAATAAATTGAAAAAAAAATGTAGGTATTCAAAAGCTATATTTATATAAAACGTAATAAGGAATCAATTTTCAGTATATATATAAAATATGGAAGAAGCAATCAAGTTTCGTAAAAATTATATCCCATACAATCCATCTCGTTATTTGAGTTAAATCTTTCCATGTCGCGGACCTCCAAATAACACTCATTTCCGATCCCCTCCATGCCACTAGGTGTAATATAAGGATTTGCTGCAGCTTCTGAAATTGACGAACATTGTATTACCCTTTTCTTCATTTAAAAGAAGGCTTTCACATCAATAAGAGTTTTCTCTTTGAAAAGAATTTGAGATTAGCTGAAATGAGAAACTGTATTCATTTTTATTTTACTTTTTAGGGCTAAAAACAATTCAATGGCGCTGACAATTTTTTTAAGCAGGTGCCATCCATTTGTTCTTTCAGTCAATAGAACCTTCCCCAAATATATGTTTTGCATTTCTTGGTATTATAGGAAAAAGTATGCATAATTGTCATTCTCTTGGGATTTTTACATTGTTTTTAATATGTTTTTAAATATAAATACACCAAAAATTCAGAAGATTACCCCTATAAGATAACAAATATCAAATTTTGGTATCTGGACCGAATGCCTGGAAACTTGTTTAAGTACCTACATTGTAGATTTCAGTGATAAATTCTTGGGAAAAATTATATATTTTTGGGGATTGTGTCGTTTGACCTTAACAATGTACTTAACTTTAAAAAAAATGTCATTTCAAACATCTCTCTTCCAAGCAAGCTTCAAAATAATTTTTCAAAAAGAAATACATTCTTTATGTAATTAACACGTATTTCTATTTGCATAAATAAAAAAGGGACAAAACATCTGGAAAGAAAACATAATTTAGCCTGTCCCTTTTTCAATATGCCAATAAAATCGACCAATGCAGCATTGGTTAAACTGATGCACTGGTACTTGAGAAACCTAAGATTTTTTGCCAGTTGTATTAGTCAGTGTCTACTAAATGAAAGCTTTTCATATTCGTGTTTATTTTACCCTAAAATCTAGCTTTGCTGTACGCCAAAATTTTAAGACTATACAGAATAATAATTTTTCTCCTAAACTTAATTGAGAAAACGCATACATTTAAAATTAAAAGAAGTACAAAAATTTGAGACATGTACATATATTCTCATTTCTAAATTCATTTTTTTGTGGTAAATTTAATGATAGCAAATTGATAATTACCTTGACGTTTTTGATAACATTGGTACGAAAAAAGACCGATGAATAAAATAGCAAGAAAGCTTGTGACCGATACAGCTACAATCAGAGACATATTTGCCGTTGATAACCTGGGTAAGACAAAATACAATATTTTACTTAAAATCAGTAATTTTTTTCTTCTTTTAACATACAGCACTCTTATTTCTTGATAAGAGCATTCCAAAGGTATCCGGTTCAAAAGCGTATATATATAAATTTGTATTTTAAATTTTTTTTTTTTTTACGAAAAGTGTTCATTATATTACAAAAAACGTGTAATTTTTCAATTGAATGTCACGTTCGTAAACTGGTAATTGATACACATTCTAAATCTTGTGATTTATATTTATTGTAAATTACATTGTTAACTTGTATTAATAATATTTAATATGATTATCAAAATATTTTTCTTTTGCATAAAATAATTCAATTTTCTCATTTGCAGTTTTTCAAACGTTAACATATTAATTACATGTGTTAATTAAGATATCCTGCTTTATGATACAGATACTAGTATGAATGATACTGGTAAAGCAATCTTTAATCAATAATCGTAAAACAATCTTCAGTCTACTTACAGTTCAGATGACGTCACTGCACCGACATCACTTCTAGTGCCAACTGTCCGCAGGAAACTGTTGCAGAATGTACAGTCCTGTGGATTTGGACACTCCGTCTGACCAGAATAACCCGGAAAAATTTCGTCTTCATGACCAAAAGTTAAACCGGCTGAATGTGACCAATGTCCTATCTAATGAAAGTTTCATATTACAAAATAACCAGTTTTTCTTGAAAAAGGAGACTATATAGGCCTAGAAGTACTTAGTACTTTATGTTCTAAGTATTACACGAGGTTTGTCCAAAGCTTACCATTTTGAAAGACAATGTTCCTTCTTCAGATACTATGGCATATATAGTATGACCATATATCCCATTTCCGTTTTCATCAAAGACTGGAACTGATGAACCGTTTTGGTTGAGGTCAAGTTTGACATTTTTTATGTGTTGCAGAACCTTGTTTGTATCAGAATATCCTGAACAAATTGTTTTCGTTGTTTGGCATATATCGCGCAATGCACTAGCGGAACCCTTCAATAAGGCTAGAGCAGCATTTAAAAGGTATGGTGCCCATGGGTCGACCAAAAGGCTAGCGTTATTAAAAATATGGTCACTGGATCCACATTGTCGAGTCAGAGCATCACTTTTATTAAAGCTCCACGGAAAGTAGCATCGTTGGCGACTTTGAATTATATTAAGAAGCCAAGCATTGTCATCTGTTGGTTTTGGCGACTTGGTTCTCAAATATTGCAAATAGGAGGTATCTTGTGGCATCACCTGCGCAACGGATACAGTCCCTCTCAGTCTTGGAATAAGGTACTGTGTGCGCGTGCCAAGAGTTTCTGATGCTATAAAGTAAAACTCACCCTCTGCTTGCATCCTATTTGCCGTAACCTGCATAACATGAGGCCCAACGTGAGAACGAAGAAAAGTCAAAACCACTTTGGCCGAGGGTTTAACTCGAAGCTTGTCTAGAACCGTGTTATAGTTAGATTTTTCAGGCACTTCAATCGAGTTTGCTACACAGACACCGTAGTTCCTCGCACTCGATATGATGGCATTTTTTCCAACTTCACCATAGGATCCGGAGCTATATATGATTTGAATGTATTTTGCATTTAGTTTTTTGGCTACTTGAACCATCGTATCTGCTGTCCTATCAAGTGGCGTTGAAACTCGTACAAAGTTTGGATACTGTTCTTTGTTGGAAAGCACTGAAGACGTTGAACAACATCCAACCTTTCAGCAATAAAAATGAGACAGGATTTTTCAAATAAACAATGTAAAATTCGCACAATGAAGAAAAGAATCAATTGTTTAAAACGCAATATGTAAACTTTGTTTTTGAATAGAGAACCTTCGGAACTATCGATGTCGAAAATTTATGGGAATTATAAAAAAGAAAAACTAGTAAAAAAAAT